ATCCTGAACCAGGAAGTGTAGAGACTCACAAAGATGATACTTTTAAAGGTGTTATTTGTAGCCTTTTTGACTCTCACAAAAGGTTCAGTTAGGGCTAAAATTAGTTGAGTCTGAACGGACTCTTATTTTATCCTAACTGGATCATCCATTATCTCAAATTTAGAGATACCCAACAAAATCTTCTACCACTGAGTTAAGACTTAAGTTTGTTTAGTTGATAAACAGGAGTATCCACAGCTGATTGTCTCTTTCTACTGTGTTTTTTATTTGTTTTGTCTTTTCCCTCCATCCTTACACCTATTAATTCCTCTCAACTTCATTTAAAAGGGCTCAGTCTGCAATTAGGAACAGGAAACAGGAAATAAGGAACTCTTTAGTCCTAGAAGGGAATTACAGGACTTTCCACCTTTATAATGATGGAGGATAGAGAGTGTAATGCAATCTGCTACATAACATGACCCAGTCAGTTGCAGCATATCCTGTAACATGTTACAAAAGTAGCAGGGCTCTTTCTGAAGGCTACTAGTAGCAGGGCTGGAGGGAAGGAAATTACAGCATTTTGCAAGCAAAGCTGTGGGCTCTGCCTAGGCATCAGAAGGTGCTGTATTGCAGCTGTACAGTGGAGGGTGCATCAGTCAGATATTCATTAGATCAAAACAGTGGTTTAAGAAGACCTGGTCTTGTGATGTACATTAGAAATACAGTTGGGGCTGCAACCCCATCTCAGGTAAGTAATCCTTCCTCCCAAGAGGTCCCGCAAGTTCCTGTAAGTCAGGGTTGCATGGTCCTGTGCAGATCATGCTATCTGAGGAAGGTTTCATTGCCAAAGTTATTATGTTTGGGATGTGACCCAGGGATTTCCCTCCCCTATCTCCGCCCAGAAAGCATGGGAGCTACTACACACAAAAAAAGCAATGACCGGATCTTAACACAGAGAATGGAGATTGAGAGATCCGGCTGGGCGCCCCCTGGCAGGAATGAAGGCCCGGTACCTAGAGCCTTGCAACCAGCCTCGGTAAGTTACAGATGGGGGAGCCACGGGAACCTCCCCAGCGCCGCACTGCCCAGCTGTGCCCCTGGATCCCTGCCGCCGCCCCCCCGCGCTGGCAGCTGCTGCCGCAGGCTCGAAGCTAGGCTCCCCCCAGCCCGCTGAGAGGGGCTCGCCGCCGGCCGCCAATGGGCAGCGAGCTCCGGCGGGCCCCGCCCGGGGATGTTGGGCTCGCTCTCCCCTTTGGCCTACATCGCAGGGGCTAGCGCGACACCGCCCCCTGGCGCCGGGGACATGCCGGCAGCTTCCCTCCTAATGGAGCCGGGGCAGCGGCTGCTGCCAGCCCCGGCACTGTGCGAGCCCAACCCGCGGCAATCCCAGCCCAGCCCAGCCCGGCGTATTGCTCAGTACCCGGGAGCCACGAAGCCACCCCCGGCCCGGGCAGCGGGGAAACGCGGGCACCCCTAAGACAGGCAGCCGGGCCCGACTGGATGGAGGCAGCGGGTAACGGGGTGCCAGGCTTAGCCGGTGCTTGCCCAGCGCTCTGGTCTCTACTGGCCCCGGGGACCTTTATGATTAAACGGTCTCCACTCGAACAGCTTGAAGTGACACCCCCCGACCCCCCAGAAATGAAGGCAGCATCGAGAGGTTGAAAAGATCCGCTAAAGAGAGACTAGGAAATATCCTCTAAGCACAGAGCTGATCGAAACCAGCCAGTTCTAGGTTTATGGTAGGTGAACCGGCCCCTTGTCCTCCTTTGGGGCTTCTACAGCCAAATGCAAGCTAATGCGGATTTACACCATTGTGCCCGAGATCAGAATCTGGCCCAGCGTTGGACTTCTATGTTCAACCGGGCAAAATTCCCTCAGTCCCAGCCGCTCGCCTCCTCCCCCTCCGGAGCAAGCTGTGCCTGTGAGGTGCTCCTGGCTGTCACGTCCCAGAGCTCCGGTTCCAAGCCCGCAGCTGGGCGCACAGGAACGCTCCACTCCGGGAGCTGCCAGCCAGCTCCCCACCCAGCCATCAGCCCTCCTGAAAATGCACAAGAGCGCAGCGAACTAAATACAGTAACGCGCTGATCCCAAACCACATTCCAAAGCTAGGGAGAAAGGAGGGAATCTGGAGACAGTGTTGCACAAATAAACTCTGTAAGCATCTTGACCCAGAAAACACAGACTGGCGGAACAGCATTGCTTCTCCTGTGCCCTCCCTGCATGGTCACAAGACCGGTTATTATTTTAAAAGAGATGGGTCTCTTGAACAGAGAGGGAAGGAGCCTGCTGGACTGAATTCCCCGCTCTGGACTCTGGTATCCCCTTTCATTGCACACTGGGGCCTAAAATCTGCTTTAGGGACCCGACCGTCAAGTATGCAACTCGAATTAATTGATTGTCAATTGACTCAAAGTACCTAATATGATTGTAAGTGCTCGTCTACACATTTATCTTCACACAAGAGCTGCCAGTTTAAGGAACATCATTATTTTAAATCAATTTGGTTAAACTGGTTCAACCCCCTCTGTGGACACTCTTAATTCAATTTAACCCAGTCACAGTGATTTAGTTTAAATTAGCAAGAAATCATTTTAAACTAAATCGATGTAAGCCAGGTTTATACCAAAAGAGAGGCTGCATAGGGGTTTGCCTGGATACTCAATTTTTAAATATACAACCATTATAAACTCGCCTAGTGCAGCTAGCCCAGCGCAGCCAGACTACAAACCTTTGTTCCATGGCCACGGTTTAGCAGCTGTAATCTGGAGTACCACCACCCAAATCAGCTATACCAGTGTAACAACAGATGAGCCTGTGAAGTGGAAGGTAACCAGGGAAGATGTGAGCAACTGGGGAACAATTTACTCATTGGGATGATCTGAGACCCATAAGAAGTCAGATCAGAAAAGACCACTTGGAGTCTCAATCTGAACCCTTCTGTTCTGTGGAGTTGGGCAGGGATGGGATTTTTCTGTTTTTTTGCTTTGGATCCCCCACCCTCTTTTCTTCATTATAAAACCTATTCTTTTACCATGAGCACCGATGTAATCGTCACATAACAGTACTCTGTAAAACAAGGTGACTGCTGTGGATTGGAGCCTGAGGGAGGAGGGAAGAAAAACAAAACCTAAAGGGTTAATTAATCCACTTAGTGTTTAAGAGCTCCAAGTCCGGACCAGCATTAGATGGTCCTAGGTATGGTCCAAGCACAGAACAAAGAAGCTCTTCAGGGCAGGGACTACTAGGGGGCTCTTCCACCAAGCAAATAAAAACAAGAAAAAAATCCTTTTAACACGGTCCTGCAAATGTACCAAAAAGAGGGAAAGTCAAGCCTGTGTGGGGATTAGATTATAGGGGATTTGAACCTGATGCGAGGCCCAACTCAAAGGAAGAATTATTAGAAATACATACACTATTTCCCCCCTTAAGGCCTTACTGTGATTGTATAATTTGTAAGAGGGTATCCTTGGTTACTCTCTCTGGGATTACATCCCTGCTCCAGTTCAAACAAGTTCCATGCAGGAATCACCACCTGGTGAAATTCTCGGCCAGACTAGACAGTCATAATGGTCCGACCCATTACGTAACGGGACAACGTAGACCGAAAAAGCAGGACTGCCAACCCCACATGTTCAAAAATCCCGAGTCAGGCCCCCCATCTTTTAAAAATCAGGCCGCTCCACCAATAAGATTCGGGGTTTTTTATTTGCCTTCTGGTCTGAACCTTTGGAGGGGACCTGGCCTCATTCCCACGCTTTTCTCCATAACAAGCCGTGCTCGGAAAACATGTCAAACGGAAGGGGAGATTCTTATTGAAACCCTCGATTCCAGACGGTAGGGCTTGAAAAAACCGTCAAGTATCAAGGAAAAAAATCCCAGGAATTGGCAACACGGGAAACCCTCCAGCTTTCCGAAGCACCGCATCCCCACGGCCCTTGGCTCGCTGGGAAAACGGGGGGACTTTGCTGCGAACGCGGGACATCGAGCCCCGTCCTGACCCGTAAGCCTACAGCCCTTCCCTCCTGTGCCACTAGGAGCTTTGGGGTCACCAGTGTCGGCCAGGCAAGGCTAACGCGCACACAGGAAGGCTGGGGTATTTTAAGCAACTGAATACAGACCGGCTACAGGGGCGGGCATCCTTCCCACCAAACCGCAGCACCAAGTTTCAACGAACTCTCCCCCCCGGTCCAGCCCCAAAGGCTGTGGAGCGGAACCCCCCAGTCCTAAGCCCTGCAAACTTGCCCTTTTACCGAACACCTCGGACATGGCTTGATTATCTTGCATCTGGGACTCCGGCACGGAACTCCCCCCCCACCCCCATCAGTCACTTGTCTAAGGGTTTAATTTGTTTAGTTATTTTATTTTAAACACGCGATCGCCGCTCGAGGCTGAAAACTTTCCACTCCGCACGCTGCTGGGACTGGGATGCGCTGCGCAGTACCCCGACCCCCCAGGTTCCGCCGCCCCCGCCCGGCAATGCAGGATGGGGCGTCCCCGGAGGGAGCCGTGGGGCAACAGCCGGGTCCCATCGCTGCCAGCAGGGCACTGGCTAAGGAGCCCAAAGCAGGCGGCGGCGCCAAGGAGGGGGAAGGTTTAAAACAGCCGCCAGGACTCGCGCCCGCGGCGATGCGCCATAAGGGGCAGGGGGCTCCTAGGGTCTTCGGCCCCGCCTCACGCCCCAGACGGAGTCCGGCCCGAAGGACATGGAGCCCGCACCCAGCCCGGCGGCCAAGCGGCCTTGCTGGACCCGCGAGAGCCGCCTTCCCTCTGCGCTGCGGGTGAGCGCAGACCAGCCACCCTGCCCCGAACGCCCGCGGCCACGGGGCTCGCCCGGTGCGCCTCGCCTCGCCCAGGGCCGGGCAGGCGGCTGCTTGGGGCAGAAAGACTCTGGGAAGCAGCGACCCCCCCCCCGCAGGCCGCTCTGCCCTCCCCCAAACCCCGCTTCCCCCCGAAACGGCCACGCACACGCCGCCCCCGCCGGAAGGTCCCGGGGAGCCTCCCCCCGCCGGGCCCACGGTCACCTTGCTCCCCGACTCCATGGTGCTGCGCCCGCGCGCTCTCTCCAAGGGACGCTGCCCCGGGCCAGGGCGCCGAGCCGCGCGGGGGGGGTGCGGGGGGGTCCCGGCGAGCCGACGCGAGTCCTCCGGCGCGCTGCTGCGGTGCCCCGGCGCTGCCCGTGCCGCGCGCTGCGCTCGGAACGCGCCGTATAAGACCTGGCCCGGCCGCCGCGCCTTGACCCGGCTTAAGTGTGCGCGTGTGTCGCGAGCGCCCCGCCTGATTGGCTGGCCGCGCGCTCACGGGGGTGTGTCGGGGGTGCGCCGCTGGAGGGCTCGCGGGTCCGGGCGCTGGGCCCTGAGTGGCTGGCCCGTCCGTCCGTCAAGGGCCCCGGCCTCCCGCGCGCTGCGCACGGCGGGGGGCGGACGCGGTTCTCATTGTTAACGCGCCGCCGGGGCCGCGGCTCGGCTCCAGCGCGCGTCGCCCGGGAGCTCGCTGCAGAGGCGAGCCCGGGCACACGAGGACAGCATTGCAATCCCCGCAGCCTCCCGGCTGGGCCCTCCCCCAGCTAGCCACCGCAGAGGGGTCTCCTCGTCCCGGGGGCTCCTGCTTGGCATTTCTCGGCTCGGCCCGCAGCCCTAGAGAGTCTTCGGGCCTGGCCCGGCCCGGCCCGGGACAGAGAGATTTCAAGATGCTACGCTCCTCCCATGGACGCTTTCTCTCTCCCGTGCACGTACACACGGTACAACCACCTCATTTATAAAAGGGTCCGGGGGAAAGGAACAGAGCCTGCAATTCATTCCTTGCTCGGTACCAAACTCCTCCCTTTGCAATTCACTCAGGCCTTGGCGATGTTGGGGTGGAGCAGAGGGGGGAAGGGGAGGGATAGGATTGCCAACTTTAAATGGTGTTTTCACACTGGAGTTTCTCCTGTTGTGTTTTCATCCCTCGGTGACGTCGCTGTTCTGAATTTTCGGCCTCTCACTGCACCTGCTGAGCTTAAAGGTGGAGCCGGCCCCTCTGCTGAAAGGAGATTGTTGCTCTGTCTGCTGGAGGCTGTAAGGCAGGACTGACTCTATTCCACACTTCGCAAAGAAAACAAAACATATTTTCCCCACCCCCTTGCTCCAAGCAGCCGGGTCCCTTCCCCAGCAGAGTGATAAGAACGGAGTAAAATCACCCATTATTGAATAACAATCAATCTTGCCAGGACCGCAGGTTAAATAATTTTATTAAGATAACGTTGAAATAAAAAGAAAATGGTACAGAGTTCAAGCATAGAAGTTTCTGGTTATCAGGGAATAAGATACAGATTATCAAGGGGTGCGAAATTCAGTTTAGGAGCTGGTGGCGTAAGGAATACATAATCTGCAATCTCTCTGATTGGGGGTAAAAGTTTAACCGGTCAAAGTACAGACATTGAGCTATGCGGGTAAGTTATCCATATAATGGCTATGTTCAGGTGTGGAGTATAATGAGCGGATACGATGATGAGGATGGATCTACCCTCATTTGGTGGGATTTAATGTTCAGTGAGTTTATGGTTCCAGTTCATATGGTCCAATGGAAAAAGCCTCTCAGTCTCTTTCCCATAGTGGATGCACGATGTCGTACCGGCTCACACCTCCTAGTGCTGTCGGTGGCCGGTGATGTGTTCGATGTAGATGTCCCTGCACCATCGGATGGTGTCCGAGACCATGAGGCGCCGCCTGAGCAGTGCGTAGAAAGAGAGAGACAGCAAATGAGCTCTTGGGCCTGTAGTTTTGATTGGCATTTTGAAATCTGCTACAGTCAGCAGCTGGTGCATGACTAGGATCACTGAGTACACATGAGAAATGAATTTTAATTTCCTGTGGAAATGTTTTAGCACTGTTAAAAGTTCATACTAGCAAATTGACAAATGCTAGGACACCAGAAACTGTAAAGCATTAAAAAAAACAAACAAATAAGAAACAACAGGAATCTATAGTTGTGACCACGGATAAAAGGTGGCAGTGAATTGCCAGATCTCATCAGATCCTGTCTCTGACTGCAGTCAGAACCAGATGAAGGGGCAAAAAACACCATAGTGGGCAATTTCTTCCTAATTCTAACCCCTATCATACAAAAAATCCTAGGCCCGGTAGCACAAGGATTTATCCTTTCTAAACATTGTGTGTGTTTTTAAACCTCACTAATATAAATCTGGAGACATTCTACTACCCCATCATCCCTTTCAATGGAGAGAGATCATCTCCCCCTATCTGTTCCCCCACTGGATTGCTTACTACATGCTGAACCTGTACATCAGGGGCAGAGAAGACTAAAATCCAGAATTTCCGGTTCCCAGGAATTTTTGTCATTTTGAAATTTTGTTTCAGGTGGATTCATGTAGAAAACAGATTTTTCTAAACTTCTCAGAACTGGGGATTCCAGAGATTTCATTTAAGAAACATGATGTTTCCAAAACACTTTTGCATCCCAGAACCCCAGCAGCTAAGTGATCTTGACATGATTGATGTCAGTGGTTCACTGCTGCTCATCTCTAAATAGAAGCCATGAAACTGACAAGAATCATGTCAATTTCACTCAGGGGCTCCAAGAGATTCCTGGATCCTTGGCAGCTCTGCCATGCAGACTGCCCCAGCACTGGGTACCTCAGAGCTTCCAAATTCCCTGGCCAGACAGCTCTCAACTCTGCCCAGCTCCTGCATCCTGGGGGAGAAAGACCACATGGTGGAGCTGCCCGGGAGCAGAGGACCTGGGGCTGACTGCACTGTGGCAGTCTGGGAGCCATGGATCCTTGAAAGCCCTGAGGTCTCCAGCAGCCCACTAGGTGCCCTGGCTCAGAACCAGGCAGATTTCCATCCAAACCCTGCCTGCAGGTTGACTAAATATTTTTGTGAAATATTTCAGGTTTGACAAATCAGCATTTTCTACTGAAAATTTCTGACCACTTCTATGCAGGGGCCTGTTGTTCTCCATGGTAATCAATCAGATCTTTGCCATTGTCTGCAATGGGTGTAGGCTCAGCCCCTTGGGGAGCCTTCTATCTGATCAGGTCACACTGAGATGCAGACTCTGCAATATCTGCCTTTTACATCTGGGCATCTTGATCTAGATTACTTTAAAATCTTGGTCCAACAAATCTTTGTGAAACACAAGGGAGGGAGGGAGGGAGAGCAAACCCTTTCACAGTGTATATGTGACAGGATGCATGGTCACTGACTCCTCTGTCTTCAACAATCCACCAACCTGCCTGTTTCTTGCATAGACATAAAAGGTGAGGGTGTGGAGTACTGATCTGGGGATTACTCTCATGGCACAAAGAGATGACAATCTTTGTTTGTTTCCTTAGGAAACCCTACATTTCTTCCCTTTAAAGGAAGGTGGTAGGAGATAATCTTACTAGGGAAAATCATGAAGAAGTGCTGATGGAGGGGAAATTATAGGGGCTTTGTAAATACAGAGGCAATAATCCCCCTTTGTGCTGAGTAAGGCTGGTCAATCAGTGTTTACAGGGGGATTTAAGGGATATTTGCTAGTCCAGTCCTTTGAGTGGGTGGGTAGACAAGCTATTCATAATTATGTAGAATGCATACCTTTCTAACTAAAAGAAAAGGAGTACTTGTGGCACCTTAGAGACTAACCAATTTATTTGAGCATGAGCTTTCGTGAGCTACAGCTCACAAAAGCTCATGCTCAAATAAATTGGTTAGTCTCTAAGGTGCCACAAGTACTCCTTTTCTTTTTGCGAATACAGACTAACACGGCTGTTACTCTGAAACCTGTCATTATGCAAGGCACTGCATTTAGCCGTATGGAGTGGAAATCTATCAACTGCATGAAAAAACTTGTAAAGTGAGCTGTAGCTCACGAAAGCTCATGCTCAAATAAATTGGTTAGTCTCTAAGGTGCCACAAGTACTCCTTTTCTTTTTGCGAATACAGACTAACACGGCTGTTACTCTGAAACCTTTCTAACTAAGTTAGTCCAGGTGTGCAAAGACACCATCCAATTTTTTCAGTGTCAGTTGATATATGTGCAATATGGGAGGGATTCGATAGTCCATTCGACAAAGCAAAATCTGGCCTTTTCCCTTATTATTATTAAGCTCACGCTCAGAGTTAAACACATGCATATGGGATTAGATAAACTGGGGCCAGCGTCTGCAATTTATTTCATATATGTAACATAAAAGCTTTCAGATTTCAGCCTCTAAAGTTGAACTATGAGCCTGGGTCATTTTTCAATCACTGACCTAGAAGTGGAAGGCTCAGTCTGCCAGTAGCAGTCCTGTGACCCATCCAATGCCCTGAGTCTAACCATCTCTAATGAATTACCAGCTAACATTTATATGGTACACTGCTTATAAAGATATACACCAGACAGGACCCAACAGAGCAGGGCACTTTGGTTACCAGATGTACATCCTGTTGCAGACAGACTGGTTATTCATGCTCCCATGTAGTGACTTAGTTGATACAAACATATGTAAATAAGAAAGAATGAATCATTAACTCTTATCAGAATGTGTCTGGACTCATCATCTTGTGAGCAATATGTAAACTCAAAGGGATATGTATGGAAATCTGACATTGGCATGTCTTGCCCAAAAGAGGACTGGTCACAGGACTGACAGTCAGGCTTTCTATAGATCGATCTCTACCAGCATTCCAGGAAGTCGGCTTCATTTTATTTCCATAGAAGCAACACCTTGGCATTGCAAAACAAAGTCAGTCTCTGGCTGCAAATTCCAGACACACCTGACACTTTCCACTTCCCTCTGCCATAAGTATTCCCATGCACAGTCCTTCCTGCCTGTTAACAAATATTTTGAAACACAATGAGAGAATAAATATCTTGTGAAAGTTTTTATGACATTATATTGTTAGTAACCCTGGGGAGCACTCAGACAGCTTTCGCCTGGCCAGAGCTCCAGGAAGACATTAATTAAACAATTCTCCCTTGAAAGGTAGGCAAGGCAATTTAGTACTGGTGAAAGAGATCAGATTGACAGGCCTGGTGACTGACACTGTTCATCCACAGGGGGTTTGTAGTCCTCAAGTGATTGCCAACAAACTTGAGGTAATGAACATGATTGTAGCTAATAGTCTGGACACTGACTTTGATTCACTCGCATTCAAACAGGATCACAAACTCTAGTCCGAACATACCCAGGAAAAAAAAGTGGCAGTAAAGCTTCCCCTACCTGAACCCTGGTCTGGACACAACTCCTCCATGAAGATGG